TCATTTTGACAAGTTCTAGAATCAGGGGCAATAATAGGAAAGAGACAAATGAGCTCACCATAGAAATTCAACCTTGGTCTGAGTCGTCTCTCCCTGCGTTTGCCGGCACACACAATCCGAGGGAGCCAGCAGCAGGGCTTCGTTGAAGTGGGATGATAGATGGTTCGGTCATAAAGTTGGGTGATGCTCTGGGCAGGCCGAAGAGCCATTTTTTCCCAGAACCACTGACTGACAGTTCCCAAAAGGGCCAGAAATGAAAAGATAGAGAGATGTTAAGACGGTGTTGACATCTCTGGAAAAAAACAAATGCCAAAAAGATTTAGTTGACATTCGTGCCATTTAATAAACCAGAATGCTTCGGAGTTAGACATTTCACATCAAAATGGGATATAGAATCCACAAATTAAATTTTCATTGCAATCAAATTTTTTGACAGAAGCCATGGTGATGGGGCGTGAGAGAGAGAACTACCCAACTCAAGCCCTCCAGCCGTCCCTCACCCGTGTCATCTCCTTGGCATGACTTAGCCTCTGGTTCAGAGCTGGAAGGAACTCAATAAAACAAGATATATTGTTATGGTTTCTTACGTCAATGTGTGCGGGGGGAGTTACTTCGAATCCAGACAATCAGCTCTTCAATGCTATCCTCTACTGTTTTGTCAAGGTTCTAAATGAAGCGTCATCTAGTACTCAAGGGACTGTATTTCAAGAGTTCCCAGAAGTGCCACCTTCCCCCCTTTTGTAGAGTAACAGGAAGAGACGTGCTTGGAGCACAAACAATCTGTTCAGCTCTCCAGGCTTGGATCAGGAGAAATGTTTGTTTCTGCAAGTGTGTTTTCCAGAGCTTTCTTAGATGAGAGGATAAGGACTTGGAACGCCTCTCGTCCCACATTTGGCCTGTTGAAGTAGCCCTAACAGGTCTTCCTGTTGCCCCAGCTTTCTGGTCTGCTTTAGGGAAAATGTCACTCTATTCACAATTAGACTGCGTGCTCTTCCCTCCTCCACCTCTCCGGTCTTGTCTTTTGTCTTTTCAAAGCTGTTAGTTTGCACTGGAGAAAACATCATTCCTTTGCCTCTTAAAGACAGAGCCACTCCATGGATTTCATGGTATGTGTACCTTTCTGTCATAAGGTCTAGCCTAGTCTCTTTCTGCAATGCCACCCCCTGGCCCAGTATGGCGCCTGCTGCTACAGCCTGTGGGTACACGTGTTGAGTGGTGGGCCCAGCTCTTTTGAATTCGGTGTTAAGAGCTTGAGGTGTGATTGTTGGGTATGACTGTCCTTTCCTTTCTATCTGGTCTCTGTTTCTCTAGGTCTGTGTCCCCCACTGTGGCTTGTGTCTCCTACAGGAGTGGCACCCAGACCTGGCACAAAATGGCAGTGAAGCACACTGTGTGAAAGTTACTCCTTTTTCCATTCCATTTCCATTCCCTCTGATTTCATCCAGAAGTGTGTTACCAGTTGGGGCTAGTGTCTTCAATACCTTTTAAGCACCCGCTCAGACAGAGTAGGCCTCAGGCCACAAGTAACCAGTCAGCGGTCTTTGGTTAAAATGTAAAAACATTTTATTTTTTTGTTGTTATAGTTACTGTCAATATTGCAGCAATCTGATTTCCTATTGACATATAGTGATAGAAAATGTATGTTTTATTTTTTTGAAGGTAAATTTGCTTTTACATATACATATCATTTTATTAATTTCAGAGAGGAAGGGAGAGGGGGAGAGAGAGAGAAACATCAATGATGAGAGAGAATCATTGATCGGCTGCCACCTGCATGCCCCATACTGGGGATCTGGCAGCAACCTGGGCATGTGCCCTGACCAGGAATTGAACTGAATTCCTGGCTCATAGGTCAACGCTCAACCACTGAGGGACTGGGTAGGAAACATATCTCTCTATATAAAAGTCTAATGTGCAAATTGTCCCCGTGGAAGTTCGACCGGGAGACCGATCACTCGCTATGACGTGCACTGGCCACCAGGGGGCGGTGTGGAACAAAGGAAGGCCCCGGCCGGCAGCCGGAAGGCCTTGATCGGCCCTGATCACAGGCCAGGCCTAGAGAACCTACCCGTGCATGAATTTCATGCACTGGGCCTCTAGTCCTATATAATAAAAGGGCAATATGCAAATTGACCGAACAGCAGAATGACCGGTCGCTATGACACGCACTGACCACCAGGGGGCAGATGCTCAACACAGGAGCTGCCCGCAGGCCACGATAGGGGCCTGCCGACCAACCTCTCAGTCCCTTCCCCTAGCCTGGAAGACTCCGATCTCCTGATGGGGAACAGGGAACCGGGGTGGGTGGTGGTGAGGGGTAGGGCCAACTGCCGGCAGGGGGGGAAGATGGCCCTGATCGCAGGCCAGGCCTAAGGACCGTATCCATGCATGAATTTCGTGCGCCGGGCCTCTAGTGTTTTAATATTTACCTAAGTTCCATTTACAGAAAATTCGAATGTAAGTTATAGTATGGACAGCACACAGCCATGGCAGAAATCATGAGGATGCACCATGGATGGCCAAGGGTGGGGAAGCCCTGCTCTAAAGGCCTTTTAGGATGAAGAGGGCTTGCGATCATGTGGCTCCACTTACAACTTGTTCCTTTCTCCATTCCAGGCATGGAACCTGAAAAACTAGAGCGAATCCAGCTCCCAGAGCCCAGTGCTGCTGAGAAGACCGTCTACAACCACCTACTGGCTGAAAGACTCATCAGGATCATGAACAGCGCTGCCCAGCCAGGTGCCTGGAGCATGTTGGCTCTTCACAGGGGTGGCGGAGTTAGAGGGATCAGGCTTCCCCACCTGGCCCTTCTGGTGATCCAGGCAGATCTCGACCACTCCTTCTGGCATGCACATCCATGACTGGGCCACCCGTACCCTCCATCTCTGGGTCTCCTCTCTTTCCCTCCCACCATGGTGTTTGCGCCAGACCCTGTTTTCTGTCTCCTTTCGCACCCTTCTTTGGCCAGTTTTGCCAACGTCTGCAGCCCTCATCTTGGGGTAGTCCAAGGCCGTGTTTGAGCTTGAACTAAGGCTGAGAGTGTGAATGAGTGGGAAAAAGATTTGGGTCGGATGCTTTTGATAATACAAGATGTGCCCAGTGTCTGGTCTTGTCAGCCTGGTTCTGGATTTTAGTCAACACTGACCTGTCACAGAAGGGCTACAAATAGCAGGCAGAATGATCTAGCACAATGATTCTCAACAGGACCACCTTGCCTCCCAAGGGACATTTGGCAGAGCCCGGAGACAATTTGGGTTGTCACAGCTTGAGAAGGTGGTGCAACTGGCATGGAGTGGGAGAGGCCAGGGATGCTGCTAAACATGCTACAATGCACAGGACAGCCCCACACAAAAGATTGTCTGACCCAAGATGCCAACAGTGCCAAGGCTGGGAAACCCTGATTGCAAGGCAGAGAGGCTGGCAGGTTGGAGTGAGTGCATGGGAAGGGGTTTGACTGTGATGTGGCCCAAATGAGAGAACTGCTAAGCTAAGCCATGAGGAGCAATCCAGGGAGTGGGCCCAGGTCAGGTTCAGGAAACCGGCCGGGGAGGGGGTTGTGATCGCAGACAAAAACTTCAGGAATAAAGGGGAGTGGCTCCAACTAGTGGCAGAAGCACAGAGGAGTGCCCTGGGAGGGAGTGCAGGTCTGGAGAGCCAAGTCCGTGGCCCCAAGAGTGTCAACAGGGGATCAGTAAACTCCCTCTGTTTCCCTCATGAGACGAGCCCAGTGGGAAGAAGTCAGCTCATTGTGGCAGGAGCTTGCAAAGGGAGAAGGGTCTTGGTGGAAAATCCCATTCCATTTCCCTGGAGGCAGCAGAAGGGGTGTTTCTGACCTGGCCAACTGTGCGGCTCAGTGGAGGGGCAGGCAGGAGTGACACCGGGCTCCGGAGAAGCTACTGAAATCTGAGGAAGACAGATGGGGGGTGCCATGTGGGCAGGGAAGCAGCACAGAAGTGGGGCTAGTTCTGGGCCGGTGGGGCTGCGGCAGGGAGAATGACTAAGCTGAGACTACCAGCCTTTTCCCACACAGCCCTGGGCTTGTATCATGCTTAGGAAGGCCTGTTTCTGCTTGCATATAGGCTGTTCATTTTTGTGCAGACAATGCCCTCTTCTCATCTGTTTCCCATCTGACATGAGGCATCAAAGGATGGGCAGGGAGGTATGCCGTGGTGTATTTGCATTGATTTTTCCTAGTGGCCCTCCTGGTCCCTGTTGATACAAACCCAACTCAGACTGGCTGAAACAATACAAACAGAAACAAACAAAACTGTTGGCTTATGTAACTTCAAGTGTGTTGGGCACTGGCTTTAGGCACAGCTGGATCCAGGGGCTCAAGCACTGTTTTGAAGACAGCCTTTGGCCTCTGCAGCTTCTGTGTTGGCAAGATAACTGCCAGCAGCTTCAGCCACCCCTTTCGCTGCTGGGGCCTTAGACATGCTCTAGGAGAGTCACTGGGTAATCTGGTGGAAAGGGGGGCTTGGGACTCAATTTGCAGAACACTTTACCAAAAATTGCAAACACTGGTAAGAATGGGGAAGTGGCCACTGTGGATTAAAATGCTTGTGCCACTCAGGGCCACACCACTGTTCCTGTCCTCTCTGTGCCCAAATGGTTCCAGCAAGTTATGGAATTGAGCCTTACTAGCTCTGACTGGCCCCCTTTCCCATTCCCTACCCAGTTACTCTGACCCAGGATAGAGCACCCTGACCAGCCTGGGTGATGTGCTCACCCCTAAGATGGCAGAAGGGGGACCAGCTCCACCCAAATCACATGTGCAATAGTGGGGGTGCTCATTCCTGAAGAAAAGGAAGGAATGCTGGACAAGCAAAGTAAGCACAGAGGCCACTTCCTAGACCTTCAGTACTGATTAATTAGTGCCTTCTTTTTCCTGCATCCCCTCTCCCGATGAAGAGACTAAAGGGGAATATTAGGTCTAAGCAGTTTTACTGGGAACATTTAATTATAATTGATTGGGAAAAGGGTTGGCAAGGGTCGTCCCCACTGGATGCCAGAGGCCGTGAGCAGTCAGCTGATCAGCTAACCTGTTAACCTCAAAGCTGGAAGGCAAGAGGTTGTGATTAAGGGCATGTAGCCCTGGGTGTGCGACGCTGACCCCTGTGTGCTCTGCAGATGGGAAGATCCGGTTGACGACACTGGAGCTGAGCTGCCTGCTCCTAAAGCAGCAAGTTGTGACCAGCACGGGCTGCATCATAAAGGACGTGCATCTGGCCTGTCTGGAGGTAAGGGACCTCCCTACCCGCAATGCCCGTGAGCCACTGCCACCTGGAAAGTGAGAGGGAGCTCTGGTCCGTGGTGGCCACAGCACCAGCAAGCAGCTGGGCCCAGTAGCACTGATGCCCTACTGCAGCCCTGTTCCCACAGAACTTCCCTTCCTCTGGGATTGGCTTGATGTGAATTTTAGTAGTTTCTGTTATAATTATTTGGCTCTTATTGGGCTCCAGGATTTAGAAATTCTTCTTTTCATATTACAAAGGTTTTATACATATATGAACATATACATACATTTGTTTATGGTTTATTGAGCTAATATCTCTATTGTTTTAAATAGCTTAAATGGTTTTCCCTTTATTTTCCATGTTTATTTTAGAAATTTAGAAAGTACAGTTGTTAAAAGTAACTATAGTTGACATTTTGGTGTGTGTGTGTCTTTCTAGATAACACCTACATTCACACAGATTTTAAAAAATAAAAAGAGTCATGACCATATTTTATAACCCATTTCCCCCCACTTAGCTGTATATTAACAGCTTTACATGTCACAATGAATCACCTATCCTCTGCTCATTTCTAATTTTGAGCTCTCTTTCTCTTTCTCCTTTTCTCATTAAAAACCACTTATAGATTAAGGATATTTGCCCCATATCTGTCTGTATCCACTCAGATTTTAGAGTCAGTAATTTACCCAATTCGCTTGCCTCCATGACACCTGCCTCCGCATCTTCCCTCTTTACAGGGTGCGAGAGAAGAAAGCGTTCACCTACTGCGGCACTTTTATAAGGTAAACTGGCAGCGCACGGGGCTCAGCAGGGTGGTTGCGGCGTATAAACAGGATTGTGGAGTCTGCCCTGTACACACAAAGGTTGCATGTCTTCAGTTGTTTTGCTACCTGTGGTTCTGAGTCAAAATGCTCAATTTCATAATCTCCAGAGCAGTGGTCTCTCAACTTTTCTGCCCATGCCCTCTTATCAGTACAACTTTCGAAGACTCACCCTAGTATGTGACAATTTGTTTATCAACTCAATATGAATTTGTTTATGGATGGATTCATATGTAAATTATGAATTATATCTATACATGCACACATGACTAAATTATATATATGAATTTATATGTTCATGAATTATAATTGCTTATACATATAAAATTACTTGTGAATTACATATGAACTTATGAATTATATACATATATATTATTTATATACATTTATGCTAAGAAACCTCATACAGGCTTCCAAACATTTGTCATTAAGTTTAGTGAGATTTTTGTCAAGGACCATCATGACTTTACAGTATCTGAAAAATTTGTAGACTTGTGTTTAGGTTTTAGGTGATTACTTTTTAAATATCTCATTGTGATGGTTTTTATTAACTCTTATCTTAAGGCATAGTATATTACTTGGAAAAGCTTATCATTTGTCAGCAAAAGTGGATTAATCCATATGTCAAACTGTCTGGTAGATTTCTGATTTTTGGCCTCCATATCAGATCTCTCCAGATCCGGTTAGTGATGGTTCCCCCAGTAATTTAACCGATGAAGAGATCCTCTTAGGAGATGGTGTCAGTACTGCTGTTTCATGTTCCTCTTGCTTCATTTTTTGTATTCTCTCTAAACTTCTGTGGATTATATACATATATGCAAGAAGTCTTTTTCTTTGCAGGATACTCTTTTTTTAAAATTTACATATCAACTTTTAAAAAGATGTGTTTCTTTTGATTTCAAAGAGGAAGGGAGAGGGAGAGAGAAACAGAGAAAATCATCGATTGGCTGCCTCCTGCATGCCCCCCACTGGGGATGGAGCCCACAACCTAGGCATGTGCCCTTGACCAGAATTGAACCTGGGACCCCTCAGTCCACCGGCCGACACTCTCACTGACAACAAAGAGGTGTTACCAGACAGCCCCCTGAGGGGAGGGCTGTTTCCAACCTCAGTCCTTGTCGTCTGATATAAATGAATTTATACAAGAGACCTTGACTGTGTTGTGATAAAGCCAATTTATTAAAGCAAGCAAATTTATTAAAGCATGGCAAGCAGGTCTATCTTCCGGCCTAACATGTGCAGATGGGCTCTCAGCTAATCTGAAGAGCGAGTTGGGTGGGGGTCCAAGGCATTACACACCCTCTTGTCTATAGGCTTCAAAATTTCTTAGCTGAATATTTTGGTACAGATTAATTCTCAAGGTCCCTTTTTACTTTGTTGTGACCTTCCCAGAATTCTTGAGAAGCACCTGGCAACTTTATCTCGCCAAGCTTCAAGACTGCTAGCTTTTCTGCTTAGGGAATAAAACTCTGAGGCCCTTTTTTTCCTTTCCCCTTTCCCCCTCCTTCCTCCACCTCTTGTTAGGGAGGTTTTTAACCATTTGCTCTCAAGTGTCCTTGGCTGGGAAAGATAATGGCTTATTACTTAGAAGCTGGCTGCAAATTGTCAACACCATTTGGCCTTGTTTTAACTTTCCTGTCTCAGTTTCCCTATTCCTGCTGCTCTGGAATCCTGTAACAAAAGGAGAGCTTATAATCCTGTAACAAAAGGAGAGCTTATACAGCAGGTTCTCTCGTAACATTTTGTTCAATGTCACTTTTTAAAAAAATATATTTTATTGATTTTTTACAGAGAGGAAGGGAGAGGGATAGTTAGAAACATCGATGAGAGAGAAACATCGATCAGCTGCCTCCTGCACACCCTCTACTGGGGATGTGCCCGCAACCAAGGTACATGCCCTTGACCGGAATTGAACCTGGGACCCTTGAGTCCGAAGGCTGACGCTCTATCCACTGAGCCAAACTGGTTAGGGCATCAATGTCACTTTTTTATAATGTTGAGGGGAAGAAATGGATTCCCAGCCTGGGCCACCTGTGGAGTTTGCATGTTCTCCACGTGTCTGCAGAGGTTTTCTCTAGGGTCTCCACTTTCTCCCACATCTCAGAGATGTGCATGTGGGGAGAATTGGTGTCTGCACTGTTCCAGTCTGACTGCATGTGGCTGTGTGAGTGGCCTGGGAAGGGCGTTCTGTACCTGAACTGCTAGGGCAGGCTCCAGCCACCTGTGACCCTGACCTAGAATAAGTGGGTTAGAAAAGAATGATCTGCCTGGTTTTTATTAATGTTTCTTAAATGTTTAATATTAGAAGTGTTTTGGGTTTTTATTTAGAAATTTGTGATGTTTCAGTGACCAGAGTTATGCTATAAGAACTTAACTCTTGTTTATATCAATTGACCTTTAGTAAAATCGATTTCATTTTATGTCATCTCACTGAAAGTCAGTTTCCTAGAACCTATCGACAACATTGAGAACTTGCTGTATTTGAATTGTAGCTCCCTTCTCCCACCCCAGTTTTCTCTTTCATCCTAAGTATATCTCAGAAGCTTTTGGGTTTTCAGGGGCTTTTATTTCTGTGGTTATTACCTGGTATTTACACCACACAAGAATATTCAAAGTTATCTGTAGATCTGATAACTGGAAAAATATATAAAGGACCTATTGCCTTTCCCATATTGACGGTGTGTGGGGTGTGTGTGCCTGTCAGAGAGAGAGAGAGAGAGAGAGAGAGAGAGAGAGAGAGAGAGAGAGAGAGAAATTGATTGATTCAGGACTTATGAGAGAGACAAGACAGTTCTAATAGTCATGATACATTCAGCTGAATCTCCCAGCCCCTCCCTAGCTGTGGTCCTGTCCAGTAGTGATCATAATGACTGTGGCGCTAACACTTAGCCCTGACTGAGGGGCAGGCTCTGTGCTCAGCTTTTTCTGTGTGCTTACTCATTTCATCTTCACAAAGACCCACACAGACAGGGGCTGCCATCCCAGTCTCTCAGGGAAACAAAGAGAGTCTCGGTGAAGTGAAGCTGGGACTTGGCCCCTGGGTTATGTGTTGGAGCCAAGTTCATACACCAGCCTGTTCTGAGAGGGACCTCCTAGACCAGTGGTAGGCAAACTGCGGTGCACAAGCCACATGCGGCTCTTTGGCCCCTTGAGTGTGGCTCTTCCACAAAATACCACGTGCGGGCCTGCACGTACAGTGCGATTGAAACTTTGTGGCCCATGCGCAGAAGTCGGTATTTTGTGGAAGAGCAACACTCAAGGGGCCAAAGAGCCTCATGTGGCTTGCGAGCCGCAGTTTGCCGACCACTGTCCTAGACAGTCCTCAAGGCTACAGAACCTCAAAGGCATGGCTCAAAAACAAATGGAGCAGGCCTATAATTTTAGTGTTAACCATGTTTAATTATACTCTTCCTTTCAGAGATGTGGAGCCTCATAGTTTTATTTTTTTATTTTTTTTTTTTAATATATTTTATTGATTTTTTTTTTTACAGAGAGGAAGGGAGAGGGAGAGGGATAGCGAGTTAGAAACATCGATGAGAGAGAAACATCGATTCAGCTGCCTCTTGCACGCCCCCTACTGGGGATGTGCCCGCAACCCAGGTACATGCCCTTGACCGGAATCGAACCTGGGACCCTTGAGTCCGCAGGCCGACGCTCTATCCGCTGAGCCAAACCAGCTAGGGCAGAGCCTCATAGTTTTAACATGGCAAGTTAACCAGGGTTCCCCATTCCTCAACCATGCTCGACAAATAGAGGATGATAAACACTTGAAACGTTAACCATTTTAATATTTTAATGATCTATGGTGTTTTATTGGTTTGTATTTTTAACTAACTGCCTTGACAGAATAAATCTAGCTACATATGCTGAAGCAAGGGAGAGAACTGTTGAGAGGTGCAATTTGATATCTGGGCTTTCGTTGGAGCATGTGTTCATGTTCACGTGTGCATTTTACTTCCTGGTGATTTACGAGAACTCTCTAATGAGAAACAGATGGTCCCAGAAGCCGTGAACTAAAGTTCATAATGCTTTGTTGTTTATGGGGGGAAATATGCATAATTTTCTCTTCCCTCCCTTTTAGGGAGAAGAAATTTTTTTGGACATGTTTGAAGATGAGTACAGAAGCATGACAGTAAGTGAGGGGCCAGAAGCATCTGTGTTCTCGCAAAGCTTGCCCAGCCAAACCGAGAGAGAGGAGAGAGCACTGACTTGGGGCTTTCTGCTCAGATTGCAGAGATTGGTAGGGAGGTAAACTGGAAATGGTGGTCCCCACCACTTCGGAAATTTCAGATGACATTCACTCCCCCTGAGCTGGGCTGTGTCCTAAGACAAGTCAGAAAGATTCACTTTGATATGAATAATATTTGATTAAGGACTTAATCTATGTCAGGTGTGGAAAGCCTGTGATCCATGTTAACCCTCTCATCCCCATGCCAACCCAGTGGAGTAGCTCCTATCATTAGCCTCCTTTTACTGATAAGGAAAGGAGAGTCAGCTTGAGTGAGGTGCCCACATGTGCCAGCCAGAGAGGCAGAGCAGCTCGCCTCCCAGTCCTTCTCTCTATATTATGCCACCTCCTTCTTTGCCATGCCACCGGAATGTTCTGAAATGTTCCTTGAGTTGCAGTGCCAGACTAAAGCTTTCCTTTTTTTGCATCTAGCAGGCAGAATTGTGGGAAAAGATAGGTTTAGCAGATTGCAGCTTTCTCTGTGTTGCTCCTTGGTCTCTGCATCCCCAGCATCTGCCCCTTAGTTGACACTCAATAAATAGATGATAAATGATCTTTTTCATGGAAATTACTCGTCAAAGAGTGAAGTGATTCGGGAAGTTTATAATAAGCCTAAGTGTTTAAAGTGTCCA